TTGAGAAATTATTAATCCTTCTTTTCTCTGTGACCTAAAAAGCCAAGCTCTTGGTCAGATAGTGGCTCACACTTGTAATCCTAGCACTGTGGGAGGCAAGGCAGGCAGATCCCTTTGAGGAGTTTAGAGATCAGCCTGAGCAACAGTGAGACCCCGTCCCTACTAAAAATAGAACAAATTAGCTGCCTGTGGTGGCAGGTACCTGTAGACCTAGTTACTCAGGAGGCTGAGGCAGGAGGATCACTTGAGCCCAGGAGAGGTTGCTATGAGCTAGGCTGATGTCACAGCACTCTAGCCTGGGTGACAGAGTAAGACTGGGTGTCAAAAAAAAAAGTCAAGCTCTTAACATAGTAGTCACTGGTGTATTTTTGAGACCAGGGAGAACCTCTGCAGAAAGAGAGTTTCTGCCTTAACCAAAGGAATCCAGATTGCTGGTAATGAAAATTAAGAGGGTTCTGTGGGATTATTTAAGGTAACAGATGTGGAATAAAATCTGCAAGTGTTACAGTGCATCTGCAGCAAGTGATTAAATACTTTTGGCTGTCAGAACCACATACAGTCTTATGTATGCACTGTTATTACAAAATCATATAGTGTGTTGGTTATTACTGGCTAGGGAAATGGCAAGAGGAGGGCAGGAGGATACAATAAAACAGAACGGCACACACCGTCCATAATAAACCTAACTATAAACATGCCAGAGTGAGAAGTTTAAAAGGAAACTCTGGAATCAAAAGGCAATCTACTCATGACTGACATGACAACCCCATGGCAAGGTAATTCCATCTAGTGTTAGATAGCTCTGATTAGTTTCATAAAAATAAGTAGAAAATATTGTAACAATTTCAGCATTTTCTGAAAAATGAATTCTGTAAACCCAATATTTCTAATTCAATAGAACTATAAAAATGCACGTTATTTTCATGAGTATAAGTAATAAATATACATCTATCCTAATAGTAAGATCACCACTGTATAGGAGCACAGCAGTGATGTGCAGAATCTTTGAAAATAGTATGATATTTCTTACAACAATTTTTCCAAAACCATTGAAAACAATTCTATTTTGACCTCTCCTGTCCCAAGTAATACATAAAGGTACAAAGGTGATTGAGTCATTCATTAAGTGGCCATAATATAATCAAGTCTAAAATCATTCCTAAGGGCATCTTATACCAGGAAGAGACCTGAAGGTTCATCTACTACTGCAAACTGGGTGGTGGTAACGAATTCAAATGTTCACATAAGGATGCTTAAATAATTCTGAAAAGCAGTGTTGCTGCTTGCCATTCATCAGAAATGCCTAATATGTAATAAAGCAAAATGCCTAATAAATAATATTGATGGAATCATTAAATCAACATTTACATAACTACTGAGAAGCACAAGATATTACCCTATGAAATGAATAGATGTTGCCCTATTGCTCTGGAAACCACCTCTTGAAAAATCTGATGAGATTCTGATGCTACAAATACTGAAATATGGAAATAATAAAAAAGATCATCTCTACATGTGAAAAATTAGCAGTAGTATTTAAAATTAAATATAATTAAAAGTTTAAAAGTTTCATCATTTAGTCATTAAAAAGGTATTTATTTTGCAGCTATTAGCATGTAAAGGGGAATTTAATACATGTATGTAATTAACTATTAAAAGTAGCTTCAAAAGTATAATTTCAAAATGAATCTATAGGCTGGGCACGGAGGCTCATACCTGTAATCCCAGCATTCTAGGAGGCCGAGGCAGATGGATCCCCTGAGCTCATAAGTTTGAGAACAGCTGAACTAGAGTGAGACCCTGGCTCTAAAAAATTAAACAGCTGGGCATTGTGGCAGGCTCCTGTAGTCCCAGCTACTTGGGAGGCTGCAGCAAGAGGATCACTTGAGCCCAAGAGTCCGAGGTTGCTGTGAGCTATGATACCATAGCACTCTACCAGTTGCAACAAAGTGACACTCTGTCTCAAAACAAACAAATAAAATGAATCTATAAATATTAAAATACATCTATAACAAGAAGAGATAACAATGAGCCAAGGGATTTTTTTATTTTAATTTTATCCATTCTTCATCTCTAGTACCTTTTACTTCAGTAGAGAACTTTAAGTTATTATACCTTCACAGAATCTAAGAAAACCATTAAAATTAGTCCCCTAAATAGTTTTCTTGCTTCAACCACATTAATTCTTTCATTTTTTTTTTTTTTTTTGGTCTAGCATATATTTGGCACCAATCTATATTTCTAAACATATCACTGCCTCAAGTCTTCCTTCAGAGAGACCAACGCTCCTACACTCCAGCCCAGGGCCAAATCCTGCATTTCCTCATCATGACCTTAGTGTACCTGAAGTCCTGGCTCTCCTCCCTATGCCTACATACCTGACTCCTACCCAAGGCACCCACAACACTTTCTTCGGTCAGCTGGGCCAGTGTTCACGTCACTGACACCACCTGCAAAGCTATCTGTATGAAGCATCTCTTATCCACTATTTATTCTAGTACAGAATTTATCAGTTCAACTGTACTACAGAAACGCAAGATTTTTTTATATCACTTTTTTATATTCTAGTACTTTTATCCAACTCCTAAACCCCAACCATCACAGTGGCCAGAGAATTATCTTTCCAATGTAGGTATTCACCAGCACCTGCTTAAGTCAAAGACGTATAATAGCAACGATGTATATAAATTAAAAGTTAATGATTCTTTAGTAGTATAAGAACTGTTTGGACCATATAAGATTTTTGAGAAGCTATTTTTTTTCTTACAATTTCCGAGGATTTACAATCCAAGATGGAGGAGTTGTAAGTTGTTGTCGTCCAAGAGAAACAATGAGGAGTTTGTCCTAGATGTCACACATTTCCAGTGTGTCCCCAGGGGACACTCAGCCCATGACAAGTCACTACAAATCCATATTCAATTTTCTGTCTATACCAGTGGCTTCTTAAAAGCAAGAGAGTATAGCCCATATAGTAGGAACTCACTAATGACTGATCTAGCACCATGATTAGCTGCAGTAAACACAATTAAAGAAAAATGTTTGCTAAGTACAAATGTAAACTTTAAGTAAACTTAGTATATGACTATGCAATTTTAAATGAGACTTATGGCCAAAATTCTCAGCACTACTTTACAGAAGTATTAATCACAATAATAAAAACACAAATTTCAAGAGAAACCCTATGAGGACAGAAGGGTGTGCATGGGCATGGTTTTTATACATCATAGACCAGTTCTTGAAGGAAAGACAATTTTGGAGAGGGAAAATGAAGAACAAAGAGAATTTTTTTTCTACTTTCCATGATTCCGTATTACTTCTTTTAAATTACAGAACATATATAACTTTCAAATAAACTCCTCCATACCCACACCACACACAAGGAGTAGTCTAATAGCAATTAAAAACATCTAACTACTGTTAGAATGAACTAGTTGAAAATTTAAATGTTAAAATTTACATTTAAATATGAAAGAAAAGACAGGCTAACTAGAGGTCCAGTGGGGCTTTTTTACTTTTTTAACTTAATTTGTCTATAACAATGGACAAAATCCTTCTTAACTTAGTATTTCCTAATTTAAATTCTTCTTTTATCTATGTGTGCAATGCTTCTATATATTAAAAGAGAGAACTACCCAAAGGCATCATCCATCCTTCCAAACAGTAAAAAGAGGCAGTAAAACTCTCTTCCCAAGGTACAAGATAGTAATAAGAAAGCTTCTCATTAGATGTTCAATCAAAGAAGCTCCCTCTCCACAGTGACTTTGACTAAAACATACTTTATAGGTAAAATGTTCAGTCCTCATAACAGAAGTTGCACTCTGAACACCATCTGGGCATCACACCATTACTCTCCTCCCTTCTGTCTTCAGAGGACTATTTCAAACCATGTGATGAGAGTCTCTTGGAGTTAGAGACCATAGTATCTCATTTTCATATATCAGGCAACTAAGATAATGTAGAAAATGGTAGCTTCTGAGTGAATAAGCAGCATTTTTTTCAAATAGTATATATACTTGTAGATATCAACAGAATAATTCAGCTATGACAAAAAAGAAAATAATATTTCTGTACCCACGAGATAGCATTTTTACTTTACAAATATATTAAAAACATAAATGATAAAGACCACCTTGATGGATAAATGACTCAGAAACCAATCTGGTTTTATACCAGCCCAGGGATCATCTTTGGAGTTACTCGAGTGACCTGCAGAAGTGTGACATCGTGTCCTTAAAAGATAAGAATAGAGGAGATGTAGGCACAGGTCACTGGGAGTAGAGAGTGCCTCATCCTGTCCTGCAGGCCAGGGGAGTGGTGCACACACCTGGGCACAATCTAGTTTCTACATATCAGTGGTGCATCAGAAAAATAATTTTTTTCTTCTAAGAACCAAGACTTCTTTTACTACCTAGAAGTATTTTGGAGCCACACCACCCACCACCTTGGAAAGATGAGAGGAGATTTCCTTGTCCTACTATCCCTGCCATCTAGAAGACCCTGTCCATTTCATTCCTCCCCGTGAAGAGTCAGTCTGTGCTCAAATCTCCTGGTGAAATGCATCCTTGATCCTTTGGCTCCATCTCTTAATTTTTTTCTTCTTCAGTTCCTCTCCTAAGATTCAATTTTTCTACATCAAGCTCCTGTTTTCCATATTTTGTTAAGCTGGATACATCTTTGTGGATACTTATTGCAGGAGGGGAGTGGATTTAGGATAAATCTCCTTGAAATCACAAGTAAGTTATGGTTCTGACAACACCCAGACTCTCATGACCTTTGTATAAATGCAGTAAACCATGAAATAATTTGAAATTTTCACTAGCATAGTTATTTTAAAGGAAGAGAAGGAAGAAGAAATTAGTTTCAGAAAAACTTCCACAGATTTATAGGTTTAACTTTATTGAAACCAGGTAATTAATTCCAAACAGTTTTAATACTTCCTCAACTTCAAGATCAAACCAGGTCACCAAACAAAGAAAACTGCAAAAGGGCAATGCACTTACCTGAGGGTAAGGTGAAGTCCTAGATTTTGACTTTGAGCCAGAGAGCCGGGACTTGGCCCCCTTTCTGTTGTCAGTCATGGTGGGGGTAGAGCTGCTGGCATAGGAGAAGGCAGGTTTGGAAACTGAGATCTGATCCAGGGAGAGCTGCAGCCCTTTGTATTCTGTGTCCCTGCAGGGTGGAAGGACAAAGCCCTAATCAGTCACCACGCAAATGGATTCACGTATTTGCTCATCAGGAATGACAGTAATCCTTATTTGAGAAAAAAAAAATGCAAAAATTGGCCATGTAACTAGTTTCCACAAACATCTAGGTTATTCTAGAAAAGCCAATATGTAACTAATTTGTGTGACTGTAGCTACCACATGTATCACAACAAAATTATTATGACAAAAAGAGAGAAAGTCTTGATTAAAAACATATTTCCTATTATATTTATCAGTTAAGTAGAAAATAAACCCATAATTCAAATTTTCTTGAACTTTGACATGTTCATTGGTGAGATATGAATCAGAAAAACTGTAGGTTCCTGTGTGGGGTGAACTCCACAGACAATGCTATGATCATCTGATATGATCTTCTTATTGGCAAGAAGAATGTCTTATACCAGCTGTTCTAAGATCAATCATTCTGGTAAACATTCCAAACATTCTTAAAGCCAGCAGGTTTATAAGTAGTTAAAAAATCCCTTGCAACAGGGTAATTCAATTACCTGAGGGTACATGTTACCCCAGTTCCTTCCATTCCTTTCTCAGTTCAATAGTATTTATTGTGCCAGGTGGAAATATAAGAATAATAGGACACCTATAACTCCTGCCCTTGTGTAGAATATAATATTCGTCTCTATTTGGGAGAAGAAACATTAAACAAATAAACATACATAATAACTGCAAGTTGTAATATGAAAGAGAAAAGCATTAACGTTAGGAAGTTCTTTACAAGGTATTGCTTGAGATATTTAGGGGCTGACGATGCCAGCCTTGGTCCTCAGCTGCTTTCAGGCAGCAGTGGATTTCATCTGACTTGTAGTTTTTCATCAGAGGATACCACCCTACCTACTGGCAGCCAAAATAAAATGTTCTGGAGAGTCTTCTTTATGAAGACTCGTGAAAGAATTTCCTGTCAGGTTTCAGAACTAGCAGGGCTACTTCTGGGTAACTGATTTCTTTTTATCACATGGAACACTATGAATCACGAAACTCAGCACATTTCCCTCTTTGCACTAGAAGTCAAAAGGCCTTGAGCCCCAAATCTGATTTGTGATCGCCTCTATCTAGCAAGTGTCCAAAGTCCTCGTGGCCAGCATTTTGTGCAACAAACTCCACCAGCTTCCTTTACTTTCCTTTTCCTTTAATTCTTTAATGGGTTGACTTCTGTAAAAGTTTTACATGCCTTTTTTTTTTTTTTTTTTTTTTTTGCAGTTTTTGGCCAGGGCTGGGTTTGAACCCACCACCTCCAGTATATGGGGCAGGCGCCCTACTCCGTTGAGATGCCTTTTTACATGCCTTTTGGGGTTAAGAAAAGTTTTTTTGGTTTTTTTTTTTTTTGAGATAGCATCTCACTCTGTCACCCTGGGTAGAGTGCTACGGCATCCTAGGTTACAGCAACTTCAAACTTTTGGGCTCAAGACATCCTCCTGCCTCAGCCTCCCAAATAGCTGGGTCTACAGGCAACTGCCACCATGCCCCACTAGTTTTTCTACTTTTAGAAGGGACGGGTCTCACTCTTGCTCAGGCTGGTCTCGAACTCGTGCGCTCAAGGGACCCACCCACTTCAGCCTCCCAGAGTGCTGGGATTACAGGCATGAGTCACCATGCCCAGCCTAAGACTGGTATTTAAAACTTAAATTAATAAAATTATATATGTAAAAATGGCACTTTTCCATGTATCAGCAAATATTCGTGTGTCTTCTTTTCCTCTTCCCTATTAATTCTTCTACAGCAAGTCAGGCAATCGTAAAAGTGCGATTTGATACTTGAAAATCGCTAATAGAATATATGTTAAGTGTTCTCACCACACACACACACACAAAGGTAAGTATGTGCAGCAGTATATATGGTAAGTAGTTTCAGTTAGACATTACACGAGGTATACAAGTGTCAAAACACCATGTTGTATCCCACAAACACATATGATTTTTACGTGCCAATTTAAAGCGGGGAGAGTACATAAATAAAGCAAGGAACAAAAACCAGCTAAAAACTATTCCAATAATATCACTGCCACAAAACAGCCCAGTGATATATATCAGCAAATTACAATGCCTTCATATCAAATAATTCATTCACTCAATGCAAGTTAAAAAAAAATTCTTTTTACATAGTAGCAAAAATTTAAAAGATGGGCATGCAATTTTTCTTTCATGTTTGGGAAGTCTGATCATACCACCAAAGCTCTAATCAACTCCCTCTAAGGCAGCAGTTCTCAAGCTGTGGGTTGCGACCCCTTTTTAACAATGAAAATACATTGCAGCATTAGGAAGGTTGGCATTAAGAAGGTTGAGAACCACTGCCTAAGGGCAACACACACTCTAAGCACCTCCTTAGTCTAAAATGCAGCATCTTCCAAAAATGTGGCTCCTGCCTATTTTTCTAACAAGATATCCATCTTACTTTTTTTTTTTTTTTTGGCTGGGGCTGGGTTTGAACCTGCCACCTTTGGCATATGGGGCCAGCACCCTATCCTTTTGAGCCACGGGCACCACCCATACACATCTTATTTTTTAAATGATTATGTCCCGCCAAGGACGCTAAGCTCCTAAAGGACAGAGTCAAGAGATAGTTTGTCACGTTGCAGTGGTCATTTGCAAAATATTCCACATAAATGGAAGAGGAAGATAATAAGGACACCACTAAGAAAGATGTTTTCCCCAATAAGTGCTAATAACTTGCAACCTAGCAGCCTTTCTCTATGGGAAAAGACTCAGATAGGCTGCTGGTCCCCTGACCCACCTCCCTCAGACAACAGCAGCCATGCAAACTGGACGCCGGAGATGGAGCCCCCCTCCCCAGGCACCTGCTGCATCAAATGCCCTTCAGTCTGCAGGGCAGCAGAGCATCAATTTAGTCCCCACCTGACAGCACCTAGACTCACAGTGAAAATCATGCACCACTGAAAACATACCAGATAGCTTTGCAAATCCATTCCTAATGCAACATCTCAGCCCAGGGATTCCATTGCTACAAGCAGGGATTAAGCAAGGATTCAATTTTCTCCTATACACTTTCAGACCCTTCAAAGGTATGCATCTCATATTGAAAAAGTCTTCCCAAAATTTTTGCATAGCTTCAATGACAAAAGTACTCCAAATTGAATAGGTAGGCTTAAATAATACTTTAAAACCAAGAAATGGTTTTAAATTTTGCATATTCACATGAAAACTTTAAAAAATATTTGTATGAGAAGAGTTACACAAATACCCTTGTCAAATTAATAAAAATATTAATGCTTTGGTGCACATCAAAAAACATAAAAATAATCCACCAAAACTTAATAGAAAACCATGACATCAGAGAGCTCAGGGCTTTAAGCCAACCTCTGCCTCTATCTGTGTAGGCCTCAATTTCCTTTTTGTAATTCATATAGATATAGTAAGATTTCGATGAAATACTATATGAAAACTCATACCACAGTGCCTAGAACATAGTAAATGGTAAATAAATAGTATGATTTTTACCTTTCGAATTCTGTGGCACTTTTGGCACCTGACCTCCCCAAAGCAATACGTTCACTTTGATAGTGATTATAATACATTTCTTTATGGAAACCTTATGCTGTATTCTTTCTTTTCTACCACAAACTCCTTTTTAATTTGCTCTGTTACTTTTTAGCCTCTAAACTCTATTGTAGTATCACCAAAAACATGTATTAAGGTAAATTCTTTATTACTAGGTCAACAAAAGGAGACCATCCAGCAACACAGTCATTCTGAGAGGGAGATGGCCTTCCTCCCTCTCTGTTCAAAACTCCAACATCTCAAAAGATGGGTTAGGATTGAAAGCACAATGAAAACGCACACTTAACGGCATTTCAAGTGTGGTTGATGTGCTGCCAAGAGCAGCTCTGAATGGCAGATTCCCTAAGAACAAAGCATTTGTTTTACTTTCAGAATTCCATTTAATCGAGCATTTCATTTGTGTAGTTTAAAGAACTAGATGCTGATGGCAATCACATGATGAGTTCTACTGCCCTCCTCCACACCCAGACCCAAAGAGGAGTCTGGGCCTACTTGTCTTCCTTCCCCTTGCTGAGCCACATTCTGGTATCACACATGTTGTCAAAGTTAAAAGTAAATTTAGTAGAGCCATTTATTTAATGCTTCCCTGTGGAGTGGGACAAAATAAAATACTCAGCTGCACGAAACTCAGACTTTGAGATGAGTTTGGTGAGGAATTTGTAGCTGATTTTAATAGATGAAGGACATAGTGCTGCTCCACTTCTAAAGCTTCTTGGAAAGAGCCACAGAGACACTGTTTGGGGGCCCTATCGAGGGCAGCTCATGCTGTTCTCGCAGGCATAACCAGCATATGGAAAGAGGAACTGTGGCACAGGACATTTGGCATGTCCTTCAAAAGGCTACTGAGAAAAGTTTACATTTTTTTTCTCCCTTTAACGACTAGTAGAGAGTAGCAGACATCTTCCTCATACCTCAGCTCCAAAAGCAATGGGAAATGGGAAATTTGCAAGCACTAGGACTTGCAGCTTGTCAATCTCACCCATATTTGCACAGACCAAAGTAATCCTCTTATTCTATTATGGACAGTCAGAAATCATTCAGTTTGCAGAAGTAACCATCTGAGTCTACTTTAAACTTTATAATAGTCATGTACATATTTGAAATAACTCAAATTCCAATAGAGAAAATGGGGCCATTTTTGCATCATTGCCCTTCCTCAGCCTTCTCTAAAGCAGTACATCATGACCACTCATGAGGAAAATGTCAACTTACTATATGGGAAGCTCAGGGTGCTGCCCTCCCATAGCTAATAGACAGTGTCTTCACCACTCACAGGGACTGTGGGCTTCAGAGAAATGCATTAATATCACTTCTTTCATTTCAACTGGAAGACTGGCCTCCACAATACCAATAGACAAGCTAACATATTTATAAATTTCAAGCGATTAGGAATGAGTGTAGAGAGAAGCAATCAACAGTATTTTATCAGTTCATG